GGTGGTGGTGGTGATGGTGGTGGTACTACCACCACCACCACTGACACTATACTAGTACCATTGAGATTACTAATACGATTACCAGTGCATCACAACCCAAGCCTCGCCTTGCTAGCCAAAACACACCTAACGCACACACGAATATCCTAAGCCTAGCCCCACAACCGTACACCTTAAACCCCCAAGCCCTAACAGCCTAGACCCCGCGGCATCCTGGATCTCAAGCTCTAAATCTTGAACCCTCGAACCCAAAACACGAGGCCTAAGATGCAAAACACTACCTGGAGACACTAGTTGACAATGATTTCGGCGCAGCGTTGTGCCAATTCAGGACGTGCAGGATGAAGATGATCTTGATTGTAATCAACTCGATCTACAGGTACACCCTAAACCTGGTTCCTCCTTGGATTTTCTCAACTTCATATTCCTTACTGGGCCCTTCTAAAATGAAGCCTGAACTGACACACGGGCTTCCCACATAAACAAACAATAGCCTCTACATGACCCCCATATACAAACGTTTCGCCCTAAACTTACTGGTACTAAGTGGGGAATAATCGTACATAATCCCTGCATACGCCCTGCATACCATTCCCTTACCATTCGGTTCTTCCCTACTACGCGGACCTAAAAACTACCAATATCATTTCGATGTCTTTTTGAAGTACCATAGACCATGATTATACAAGGAATATGGAGCCATAATATGGGTAATTCTTTAAGCCCCTATATTGGGTACTGCCCAGCTCAGTAACAGTTGGATAATAACTATAATATGGTTATATATAGCCCTTAATAGGACCCCTAATATACACTGTTACTGGGTGGGGGCAGTACCCAACCCCTATATTACTAACCTCAATTAAGTAAATGTTAAAAGGAATTTGGAACCATAATATTGGTAATTCTTTAAGCCCCTAAACCCTTATCTTAATATAGTAGTTTCCATTTTCTTTTCCATTATCCGTATATAACACTAACCCCAAGTAAGTAAACTGTCCCTGAACGCCCCGCAAAAAGCTCCTTCGCCGACGCGTCTTTCGAGGCATCCTCGCGGCTCGCCACCAAACTTGTCCAGTACCTTGGCTTCCATGTAGTAATGGGTTGAGGATTTGGGTTTATTTAAGGTTTTTGGGTTTTAGGGTTTTAGGGTTTTAGGGTTTAGAGTTTAGGGTTTAGGGTCTAGGCTTTTAGGGTTTTAGATCCTAGGGTTTAGGCTGTTGGTAACCCCAACTCCCAAATTTCGGACCCCATGACTATCATATGATGAGTATAGGGTCCTAATTTTGGGGTTGGGGTTGCAAAAATCTCCCTATTATTTATTGTAGGAACTACACCAATATTGGGGTCATGTAGGTAAAAAACCTGAGTTACATAGAGGTTACATAAGGACGATCCTAAGTTTGAAGGCAGCTAGAGGAAGGGAGCTTTTGTGGGGGCAGCATGCACACATGGTATAAACCCTAAATATACAGGGGTATGAGCAGCCATATGCTGAGCACATAAGCCTTATGTTCTGAGCTCCCCTCCGGTCGTTGCCTCAGGCTTAGGGCAAACCTCACAGTCTCCCCACAATCCTTTTACTTAATGTGCCTAGGGCCCCTCGAGCTCCTGGATTTTCAGAGCGCCTCTACATATACGAAGAGAACATAGTTGCCTTGACTGTTGGCCCCCCTATGTACAGTGATCCTTGGGTAGCCTAGTCTCATAAGGAGTTGGGGATTTTCACTAGCAACGACACGCTGTTTAGGGCTTGGAGTATAGGGTTTAGGGTGTACAGTTCAGGGTTTAGGGCTTGGGATAGTTTAGGATTTCCGGTTTAGGGGTTCAAGGGGTGTAGATGGAAAGGTCTGCGGTGTAGGGTGTGGGCCCTCTCGGGAAAGTAGATCCAAACCTTGAATCCTAAACCATATAGTCCCACTTAAGTAGATAGAATATGGCCTTGGGTATAGGCTAATAAGATCCCATCTACTTAAGGGGGACTATAACTGAAGCTTTCTTATGGTGAGCCAGCTGCAGAAGCAGGCTCAGGGCCGCGTAGGCAACTTGCATCAAAGCGAAACCTTGCTGGTGCTTGGGGTCAGGGTTTGGGGCTTAGCAATTAGGTCTTGGGTTCAGGTTCGGGGTTCAAAGTTTAGAGTGGAGGTTGCTGTGATGTAGTTTGTGAAGCAGAGATTGTCAGACTGCCACAAGGTGGCTTCGAGCCTGTTGCGCTGTGCGACATGCTGCCTGCTATGGCCCGCTAGTAGCTGGCTATTCCACACATTCTCCCATCCTACCATTTCACACAGCCAAACCATCCAAACTGACTCCCTTTAGAGTTGAGAACCTCAGCTCAGTTAGGTCACCTTGGTCAACAACACTACTCCTCAACCCGCAAGCGGCACTAGTGTCGTTGGAGGCCGTCTGAAGAGTTCTACGCAACCTGAAGACCTCCTGAGTCCTGAGTTGGTGTGGCAGTCCCTGCTTAGTTGGAAACCCGCGGGGTCAAAAACCTGAGAGCCGAGTCCGGCAAACCGGCTGACGAGAAGGCAGATTTCCTGCGAGGTACCCCCGGCACCCGTGAGGCCTGACGTGGGTGCTACCGTAACTGTGCCAGTGCAGTAGGTCATTGAGGGCAAGGGGCATAAGTGCCGTGCATCGAAAACGGGAGCGTACCATCGGAAATCAAGTAGGGAGATCATGGCGGTCTCCCTTAAGGATAGCATAAGGATCATCCTAAGGAACTTTGATTTGCAAATTCCTTGACTCGCGGATGTCTCGACACAACAACGTGATTATCGGGGGGCCGCACGCAGGATTATGGATTATATGAGGGAGTTTCAGAAACTCCCATTGTCTGAGGGTCTCAGTCAAGAATCCCCAAAGTCAGGACTTCAGTGTAGGGTTTGGGGCTTCGTGGGCGCGAAGATCCGTGCCCTGAAGTGGGTGGGAACTCGTTTTGGGCTCCTCATGTTCCTTTTGGGCTCCACTTGAGGATGAATCGGTGGTGCGATCTAAACCCTACCTGAAAGTTGGGGCATCCTAGCAAGTCTTTGGCAGTATGCTGGGACACCCTCAAGCCCAGCCTGGCCCTTTCACAACCTACACAATAAATCTCCTCATCCGCCAAGAACCCAAACCTCTTCATATCCCCACCAAGAATTCCGAGCACCTATTGACTTACAATCTAAGAGTCCCCCAACTCTACGCCCTGTCCGGGAGTTTCTGACAAACAGGGGGCCGCTAGGGACCCTAAGCCCTAAGCCCTAGGGATATACAGGATTGTACAGTGATTCCTTTTTAGGCATTCGTAAGAATTATGTTGAGAAACACCCATATGTATGTGGCAGGGAAACCCCATAGAGCCCTTACATTCCACTGCAAAATCCCAAAGAATCCCTCGGACGAGAAGAAACCTTTCTGCCCACCACTGGCGATGCTAAGTCGAGCAGAAACCTGGGATGCCATTGAAAGCTTTGGGTTTCGGGCTTAAGGCTTTCTGGACTTTGGAGTTTAGGGTTCAGTGGCTTGGGGTTTAGTCTTTAGAGATTGGAGTTGCGGATACTGTTGGAGCTAAAGATCCTCCAGGACCTTAGTTAGCATGCCATAACATCAGCATATTTTCGAGTGAAAGCGTGCGCGGGGCAATGCAGGTTTTGTTGTATAAGCCGTATTGCTGAGGCACTTTTCAAAATCATCTTGTGCATTCTATACCAAGTTCAAGTCCTAAGGCCTCGCTCCTACACTAGCCTAAAACCCTGAGCCCGATCCCTTGACCCTGAACCCTAAGCCTCAAGCTCCTAAACCTCCTAATCCCTAACCCTTGGCCCTAAACCCTCAAGCCCAGGTAAATACAAATTGCATACAGCAACAAGCAGAAACGAAACACTGTGCCAAACCCCCTCACAAAAATGACCTGAATTCTATACAATTTGTATTCACCCTAACTTATGCCTGATCAATAAACCCTATAATCCCTAAAGCCCAGACCTTAAACCCTAAACAATAATCCCTCCAACCGAAACCCCAAACCCTACCCTGATCCCTCAACCCGAAACCCTAATCCCTGATCCCTAAACCCTACCTAAACCCCAAAAGTATGTAGAATAATTGCCTTTGGGGCTAATTTTAGGTGTTTTTGGCTGTTATTTTACCTGCCTTTGAGGTCCAGGTAGGCCCTAAACAAAACCCTAAACCCTAAACCCCTAAACCCTAAACCTAAAACAACCCAGAAGCCGGGCCGAAACCTCGGCCCAGGAAGTCGGCCATGATCAGGCCCAGGAGAGTGGTCGTGTTCCTGTTTTAGGGAACTTAGGGCTTTAGGGTTTAGGGACTTAGGCTTTTAGGGTGCAGGAACTTTGGGTGTTTGGGTTTAGGAACTTCGGGTTTTTGGTTTTAAGTTTTAGGGTTTAGGGACTTGGGGGTTTAGGGCTTGAGGTCTTATTGGGGTTTTGGGCCTTTAGGCTTGAAGGACTTCAGGGGGTTGGGGGTTTTAGGGCTTGGTGTTTAGGAGTTTGGGAGTTCCGCCTTTAAAGTTTGGGAAGGGGGTGAGGGGGCCGATGAGAAGCGCAGGGCTTTTCTGGCAGGCCTGGGAATTAAGTTTAGGGTGCTAAGTGTTTTGTAGGCGTTTCGGGCTGGATGATTCTGAGAGAGTTTCGGCGCGAACGGTTAAGCTTTAGGATTTAGGGTTAAGGATTGAAGGGATACGAGAAATCCTGGACAGTCAGGAGTTTGAGGTGTTGATTTTGCGCTTTCGGTCTTGGTGGTACAGACTTCTGCTGCATACACCCTGGGATCCAGAAGCTTGACGTACCAAGTCTGGACCCTATACCATAAAATGGCCCACGGTTTTCATGGTACAAAAGGAACAGTGCTTAGGCTCACCAAAAACCATTTTTAAAGTTTCACTTCAGATCTGACATGTGGCCCTTTCACCCTAGAACCACCCCCAAACCCTGAGCCCGAATCCCTAGTCCCTAAATCCTATTCCCTAAAGCCCCTAGATCTTGAACGGCAAGCCCCAGAACCCCTAAACTCAAAACCCTTGAGCCAGCAACAATTTCAATTTCAAAGCTCCAAGCTATGCCATCAAAGGGACCGGTCGAGGATTGAGCCATCTGGCATCGCATTTTCTTGCATTTTCCTGTCGCGGCGGGCATTAGGTTTTGGCAGGCTTTGCTCCAGGGTTTAGGGGCTTGGGGCTTCAGAGTTTCGCTCACATTCAGGGGCGTAGGCTTTCAGTCTAGGGTTACAGTTTAAGGTCTCTGTTGCTACAATCAGGCCTGGGAAGAGCTACTCTCGCTTGACAATTTCGCCTCCTTGCCACCTGTCCGTCTTGCAAGGAATAGGTGAAATCGGAGAAGGACGCGAATATAAGCCAATGCAAAGGCTCAATCAAGACACGGAACCCTTGAACTGAAGTTTGCTCAGATAGCACCTGTAAACCCCAAGCTCACAAATGTAAACCCTAATCTCTGAACCTGCAGTTCCCAAACTGTCCACCTGTCTACCTGAAACTGCGCTCAGAAAGACTTGCATTTTCAGGGACCCCAGGGAGATAGGTACTAAAATGCCATTCCTTTATAAAAGCTGCCAAAGAAGGTGCTTGTATGCTTGTATGGAGTCAAGTCTATGGTTAAGGTTTAGGTTTCAAGCTTTAGGGTTTAGGATTCAGGGCTTAGGGTTGAGGGTTTAGGGTCGAGGGGTTAAGGGTATCATCCCCAATCATGGGGAATGAAATGGAAGAGCGACAAAAAAATAACGTGGAAACTGGGGTGATATAGGCTTGGCTGCTGCAAGGGTTGTTCCAACTACCTGGCACTTTAGCCCTTCCTGGGTTAACGGTCTAGGGTTTAGGTTTAGGGTTTGGGGTTTAGAGATAGGGGAAGCTTCTCTGGGGCTTATGGTTTAGGGCCAGGCGTGTAGCAGAGAATGCAGGAATGCACCAGTAAGTGTGAAAACTACTATTAAGTGAATATACCCTAAACCCTAGACTCTGAACCCTAAACTCTGAACCCTAAACCGTGAACCCTAAAAGGTGAACCCTAAACTCTAAACCCTAAGCCCTAAACCCTAAGCCCTAAACCCTGGGAATGGATTCCCTACAAAGCACCTGAGAGCGAAATCCTCCGCAAACATCCCTCAGCGATAACCCAAATGGCAGCTTCCCTTTACTTTTCCATACCTCCAATAACATAGCTTACTGGTTCTTAGCAGGGAATATGGGCGTATGTTATATAGGGATTATGCATGGATTGTATTCCCTATTCTCCACTAAAAAGGCAGTAACATAGCCATGTCTATGTTCTTTTCCAGCCCCTCATTTCCTACAAAACACCAGGTAGCGTCGCTTTGGTAGTCATGGTATCAACTAGCATGAGAATGCATAGAACCCCAAAGCGCCCATCCTGAAATTCGCGTCCTTGCATCCTACATTGCCTCAAACGGAAGGTTTGCAAAATGATGCTCCCGTTTGGGGTCCCAAATATACTGCGTCCCTTTACATTAAGGGTACCAAAAAAGGGACCATACCAGGATCCAGTCGAAACCTCCAGGGCGCATGCAGAGTACATGTTGTCGAATGCCTTCCCAACTCGCCGCTGAGTATGTGGCTGCAAGGTTTAGGATTTAGGGAAGGTCATTACACGTCCCAGCACGCTTCGTGCGAGGGCACGATTGCTCGTCTACCTATAGTCCCCCTTAAGTAGATAGAATATGGGGGATATGGGGATCTTATTATACTATACCCAAAGCCATATTCTATCTACTTAAGGGGGACTATACTTGAGGCAAGCAGCAAGGACGCTGCGCCCACACCGCTGATCGGCTTGGGCCTGGGAAGGTCAGATTCTGACACCTTTGGATATTATAGTATACTATAGTATATTATAGTAGATTATAGTAGATTATAATATATTATAGTAGATTATAGTAGATTATAGTAGATTATAGTAGATTATAGTAGATTATAGTAGATTATAGTATATTATAGTATATTATAATAGATTATAATATATTATAGTCGATTATAGAAGATTATAGTATATTATAATAGATTATAGTATATTATAGTAGATTATAATAGATTATAGTATATTATAGTATATTATAGTAGATTATAGTATATTATAATATATTGTAATATGTTATAATAGATTGTAGTATATTACAGCATATTGGGGTCCAAGAGTTAAGGGTCTGGGAGCTCAGGATTTCGGATGCAATGTTGAGAGGTTCGGTATTCATGAGTCGAGGGGCGAAGGGTTCAGGGCAAGGACAGTTTTTGAGTGTTGGGTTTGAAGTCGAAGCCGTGGAAACTGTGGAAGGTTCAGACAGAGGGTCCTGTTCCTAGGCCACGTCCTTCCTTTCTACAAACTCTGCAAGAACGACCTCCTGAACAATCAAAATACCACTCACAAGGACACTCCCGTAAGATTAGTACGAAAAGTCCTGCGTGACCCTACGTACTCTAAACCTTGAAAACCGTGGTACTGCAGTATCTTAAAAACCTCCGAGAATTTGTTCTGCAGCCAATATCAGTCTGAGCAAACGTGTCCTAGATGATTCACTACAGCAGTTTCTTGTACAACGTGACCGTCATTTAGTTTCATGAACAACTCCCAACAAAGCTTGACACCCTCAGACCATCCTTGAGTAGAACGACCAATTTGTTTATACCACAATACTTCGGATCCTTGAACTTTGGCATTTTTTGGCAATATGGCGTAGATCCGAAACCTACTCACATCTCCAACTGAAGGCCCGACTCCTTGGGGATCAGAGAACTCTCGGTCAGCCAACCCAGACTCATGGCTGCAAGGGGCTGTTGGTGGCTGAACCTCGTAAGATTGATGACTGAAGCACGGAAAATTCTTTTGGGGTCGGTCTTCGGCTTCAAAATCAAGAGCTTTGTGTACGGTGCTGAGGTGCAGAGCAAGCTGACTTCGAAGCTCATTGGGCGCGGCAAGGAGTTCAGCTGTTTGCAGTGGGGCAATTGCGAAATTGATGCCTCGATTGCTTGGAGACCCGGAGGCTAGCTTTCATGCTTTGCCTGAAGTGTTTAAGTTCCGCTATGGCCTTGAAGAACATCTGCAGACAAGACCGCCTTGAGCCAGGAGAGAACCGACATAGTCCGACAAACTCAGCAAATCGAATCCCTTCTCGTTGCCCACCGCCATGTAGCGTTTCGAATGAATTCTGGGTTACAGTTTATCGGCCTTGGCGCAGCTTTTCTTTCGCGGCCAAAAGTTGAGGCACTATCTGCTTGTCCACGTTACAAATCACTTCCAAACCATTTTGTTGAATTCTTCGGGCTCAGGGCTTCCGCGCCCATCGCCTCTGAACCTTGCAAAACCCACAATGCTTTCATTGTAATATACCCTTAACTATGAAAGAGTCTTCGCCAAAGAATTGAAAAGTCCCAACCCGCGGAACAAGAATCCTCAACCCCATTCTTGCCTGGACTTGGTACATCTCTCTCTCTCTCTCGCCACATCTCCTCCCAGAACCATGCACCACTCATCCCCGCATACTCCACATACATCAAGAGTGCTGGTACTAGGACACGAGCGCTGGCACTAGGAGGGCTGAGCGGACCCAACGTCAGCAACTATGCATGCTTCTTCTTTTGTGCCAATCTTTGCGTCAAAATTATCCTACAGCAGTAAGGGCTTGATCACCTGACGAACAAAACCATACTGTTGGACATGCCTTGCAAATGTGACAAGGGCGCAATCAACACTCAAGACCCAACAGTGGAACCTGGCAGAGGGCGCCGTGGAAGGCTCCTTCCATGTTTCAAACTCGGGTTACTGAAAATGGTGGGTCTTGAGCCTTGGGTTTGAGGTTCCATGGTGGAAATAAGAAAAATGATAGCCACACTGATGGTAATAGTTATAAGCAGTAGTTATCATCTATCATCATCAAACAGTTTTTGTGATAAAAATGGTCATGGTGATCATAACTGTCGTCATCATCATCATCATCATCGTACTGGTAGCAGTACTAGTGCAAGAAATAGCAGTATGTCTGTTCACAGTCGCAGTAATAGTTCCCATCATGACAACAAAGGCGAAAGTATAGTCAACAATAACGATAACAATTAAAGGACCGGAGAACCCCACATGTGTAGCTTAACCCTAGTCTAAGTGAGATAACGTTAGGATACCGTCGCCCGCCGATATAAAGAGACATGTATAAAAAAATGACAGACCCTCGAGACGACATTCCGCGACGAAACGATGAGCACATTGCGCAAGCGCGAAGTCGGCATCAGGCATCAGCTGCAGCTGATTTGTATGTATATGTACATGGTCACACGTACATTTCGCATATTTGTTCTTCCCAAGCTCCCGATCATTAGGCCGCATCGCCAGAAGAACACCCCAGATAAGCCCCCATCACTGCAATAAATGCTCCGCACCGCGCCATCCTGCCTTGTAATTGATCTGGACAAAATAGGCGCCCGTGCAGGTAAGCTCATCGTCGGAAATTTTGAAGCTGGCAAACATCCACCCAAACTGTGCGTCAGCCATTCCAAGAAAAGGTGCTCGACAAAAAGCAGCAGCTATAGCATATAGCCACCACGCATGTGTTCGACTTTTCAACCTGCCTCGTTGCAGGCCCGCTCTGCCAATGACATACAGAATGATTTGCATGGGTCGGAGCGAACAACCCATAATTACGTCGCCACGTACTCAATGAAGAAAAGCTTGGTGCTGAGGTGACCTGGAAGACTGTCCGGGCCAACGGCACCCCAACAAAACGCATTGTAGAATATCGCCAGACAAACGTCGCATCAAGATCCCGATTCTTGCCTAAGACGCATGCCGTGCAGGCGCTCTACAGGTTGTCTCCATATCGTGCACATCCACTCTTTGTCGCCATGCGCTCCGGAGCTTCCACTGGGAATATAGCCGAAACAAGCCAGAGCCAAATGTGATGGATGTTTGAGCGTTATCGAGAGCCTCAAGGAACCAGAAGCCAGGTGAAAACTATGAAGCAGTGGAAGTCAAGCAAGAGAAAAACCCATCACGCGACCATAGTCCGAATGCTTCCTGTCGAAAGGGGCCAAAATGCGTCACCCCAGGGAGCTGCATCGCGTGTGGTTTAGATGGCAAGAAAGCTGCGCTATAACTATAACAT